TGCATATTTTTCATGGTGGCAATGAAAGCATTAGTTGAAACATGTGTTTAATCATAAGCAAGTCCATTAACCTTTTTGTGTTTTCTTCTGGTACTCTACATTACAATTCTTTTGCATACTTCTTTATTTTATTTCTTTATTATTTTAATCCTTTAGTTGAATTCTTCCTTGATTTGTGTTTGATAACTTTGCATAGGAAATTTTCCTTGGAGACAAACTTAGAAGAAAGTAATATCTAGTGTAATATTCAGATCGAGAGAAAGTACCACAGCACGCCAAAAAAAAAGTATATTGAAGAGAAACAATTCTCCAGATACAATTCTCAATTAGCAACAATTTTGCAATAAAATTTAAATGTAAATGAAACTCTAAGCTCCCCCTTGTACTCGTTTTCCCAACGAGCCAGCAATAAAGTAGAATTACCAGACTGAAACAAAAGTTGCTCCTGCCATGGATCATAATTTGCATACTATCACTTCCATTCGCATCCACAATCGAACATCGATGAAATCAGTGACTGTAACGGGCCCGCTCGGACAGCAAACCTTTCTCCCGCGAGGCACACATTCGAGAGGCGTTCTCCGATTGGTCGAAGGAACGGAAAGTACTCCGAGTTGTTGTATGTTCATTGTAGTAAGTAGTAGGACCTCGTCGCGGAGGCCTGTTCGCCTCGGTACATGAAGAAGAAACGAAACGCGACGGAAACGCGGCGCATCCGAAGCCGGCAGGAGAAGTAGGTAGAAAACGCGTAGGTTCCTCCCCGGTGTTCTCACGGGGTTAATTAGCAATCTCGAGAGTTAATTGCCGCAGGCAAAGGGTACCGTGTTTCGAGTGAAGTTCGCAGGAACCGAGTCTCGAGCCTCGGACTCGAAGGATTTGCGCGTTTCTTTGTTGCGAGACGCGTTTTGGTTGAAATTATCTCCTTCCTTCGGGACAGAAATACGAATTTATCATCTATCATGTTTCTTCTTTTCGTGGAAGCCTTCCCTTCGTGTAACACAGGATAATTGTTTGTGCCCTGAGCCCCTTTTTGAGGAAAAGATGTTGGAAGTTCGAGTTTCTTCGTAATTGCTTCAAGTGTCGGCAAGGAAAGCTTTTAATGTTTATGGTTAAAAATTATTGGATGATGTAGTAGAGGTTTTGAAGAGTAGATTAGATTTTTTGAGATTTTTTGGAAGCCTGTGACGATGAACAATCTAGGTGAGGTGAAAATAGAGCGAAGTGGATGGAGTGAAAATAAAGTAACTCGTGCAATATTAAATACATGTGAATAATTAACCAATATTACTCTTTGTGTCCCATGTTTATTGTATGTGAAGAGCTATAACCGTACACTGTTGATTTGAGAGCCACTGGAAAGTCAGTGCGTGTTCTAAAACACAAACCGCATTGTATGAGGTAGCACTGTAGGTACAAGAAAATAGTAGAATGGCGTTGCGTTACACAATTGTATGAAAAACGAGATGTCGCTTCGTATGACAAAAGGGTCATTAATCGTTCCATTCTTATTATCGACGACGGTACCATCCACGTACAATTAAAAAGTCCATCCACGTTTATATCGCGCGTGCAGAAAAAAACCACGTAAAAATCGAGTCTATTGCGTGCATTTTATTCTGTTTCATAATACCTTCGCAATCAAAATGAATGTATTTCTAAGCTACTTTACAATAAGGTACTACATAAGTAGTTGCATACAAAAGATTTAGCTAGACGCAAGACATGAAAATATGCACACTTTGTTATTCTAGGGAAGAAAAGACTTTTTATAAAAAGCGATATATTTAATTTATAAATGAGCTGTATTAAAAATGGGCGCGTCACCTATACATGGGCGATAAGGATTTACACTGAGGTAGTATATAAACGATTGATAAATCCAAAGATGAACAAAATGGAATTTATATTTTATTTTCTGTCATATACTTCTTCTATGAATGTTCAAACAATTAATTTATTTCCCCAATGTTATTTTTCTGAACATGCCCACTTCAATATATCGCTTTCCACGACTATTTATTATCGTTCACCCATTTTGCAATCCATTGACTTTTAACGACACAAACCTGTAGGTCTAGAAATATGAAAGTTTCTTCTGGGAAGAGGACGTCCGGATTCCAGAGATGGGGTACGTGTACCTCCGAAGAATTCGACTCGACCAGAGATACCCTTTGGTGATTCACCACGAACGTATTCGGAGGGTCGAATCTTCTTGTACGAGACCCTTTACCACGTGCCCTAGGCGATCCCTTCGACTTTACGACCCTCAGACCTCGTGCACTTCAATTTCATCCTTTCAGAGTGCAGACATTTTTACGTAATAAATGATTCTTCAACCATGCTAAATCACAGCTTGCTCCCGCAGAGGTCAACTCAAGCAATCCCTTAACGAGATCGAGTTGCATTTCATTCCGCTACAGGGTATCCATGTGTATTTTCACTACCAAACATTAGTTTTAAAATCATTCAGAACTATAATTCTTTAATTCGAATTTAATGACATTTGTATTTAACATCATTTTCATTCGGATGTAAGCTAAATTTGCATAATGAATCTTTATGTCTGGGATCCTAATCTCTCTAAAACACTTAATCATTTGAACAGTCACGATCCATTCAAGCTATTTACCTAAATGGCTGACCAATCGTTTACACGATCACTATTCATCAGAACTTTTGCATAATATTCGTACGAGTCTATCGAGCATTCTCGTCAGTTCACGCAATCATAATCCACTTAGGAAGCAAACTTTGATCGTTCTAACAGTATCTCATTATTAGACGAACGCAAATCACTGTCGCATCATGTCGACGCCAGTGCTTAGGAGCTCGTTTAATTTTTCGTACAACGAATACAGTTAGGTCCTCGAAGCCGCGATAATGACTGGCCATTTGGATAATTAGAGAACATTTTATCACAGATTTCCCTCGTTTGTTGCCAAATGAACAGTTATACCGCTAGGCAACTGTCCTCCACGTAACACCAGAGTCGACGGAATTTGTTCTCGTTTTGCTCACTGCCAAGAGTACGATTTGCGGTCGCATTGCGGTTTCATCGATGGATCGTTTCACCGGTTCTGAACACCGTAGCAAAGTTCGTTTCCGGGCATCTAGAATGGCTCCCTTGCACTTGCATCTCCCGATGGCAGAGGGAATCGTTTCATTAAAAAGTTAATCGTCTCGGTGCAACCTTTTTGCTCATTTCGAGCAGACATTTTGCGATCTACCCTGGAGGACTTGGATTTTCAGAAAGAATGTTGGTGTTTTAACAGATTCTCGCGAAGAGGAAGAAATACGTCCTTCGACGAAGAAGTATTCTTCCAGTGTTTTGTTATTTTTTATTTAGTGGTGAGATGTTGTAGTTGTTGAAAGTGAATTTTATAGTAGCTTGGTAGATATCTTTTAACCATTGGAAAACATTACATTTAATTATACCTCTGAAAAGTTATTTGCTAAATATCAAAAGTATATTTTTGTCAAGAATTTAGTATGTGTCCTGAAATTGATTTTTTCGCTACCTCAGGTCCACTATCTTCAAACTTAAAATTCCTCCAACACTTTCAACTCTTTCCTGTTTTTCCTTTGAAACGCAAATAAAAAATTAAGATATTTAATTGTGTCCCTCGTAATTAGCCATCACAATTCTCTGAATGTTTCCTGAAGTCACCGATGAAGACGAATATAGCTTCCGTCGTTCGTGTTCGTCGAACCAGGAGAAACGTACGCGTAGGAAGATCATTTCCATTTAAATATTCATGAACGGCGTCCAGCGTGGAGACTTCGTTTAGTATTCCACTTTATTTAGGAAGGAGGAAATACTACGAAGCCTACGTGTTTCGAGTGGCTGCTTGACTTACGCGGGCACCCACGTTCGTTTATTAAGTAATAACGAGTAGCGATTATCGCTTGGGCAGATAGTGTCCCATTGTAAAATATTTAAATCGGAGTATCGAGGCCGGTAAACTCGTTTGCAAAATGGGTAATTACGTAATTGAAACCGTACCTCGCTCAACACTAAAATCATCGAGGTCAATTTATCGAGGCTTATTTATCATACATATAACTGTATTTGTAATTATAGAACAGAAGAAGAAATTAATTTACAGTAAGAACAAAATTACAGTAAAAATATTGGTAACAATTGGGTGGTTTTAAGGTTTTAAATTTGTAATACGTGGGTCAACTTGACAGTATTGGTAGTTTTAATGAAAAAAGCAAAATGTTGAGTTCAACCTTCTCTAGTTTTATATAACCTCGAACGCAATTAAATCTCGATCAATTTGGCTTGGAATGAACCATTTAATTTTTAAATTTCTTACTTGTGGATCCAAAATACCGTTTGAACTAGCAGAATAAAATCTCACAGGTCCAGGGTATCTAAGACTAGTGAATGCTAGGAGTTTCAGGACCGACAGGCATTAAATTTCTTTGTGAGCAGTTTCAACCCTCGTTCGTTGAAGCATGGTTCGCCCAGGTATATTCAGCCGTACCTGTGGTTACTTTTTCCCTGCTCCAGACTTTTTCGTGTCCAGCTCGCGTAGGCCCCGCTTCCCTCTTGTGTCGCTGACACAGGACCCAATCGTATCTTGTACGCCAGGCTGGATATGTAGAACTTGCTTTGTCCCAGTCCTCGTAGTAAGACCCTCTCATATTCTCGGGCGATTCACGTACACCTTTACGACCACACAGAACCGTAACTCGTGACTCCCATAGTTCTACGAGACAAGCGCCGGGCCCCAGGAACGTAAGCAGCCAAACTCTTCAAGTAACTTAACCTTTTTTAATCGTCGACATTAACTGATTCAGTCTTTTTCTTATTTTGAAAATATTTTCTTAATCAAACGAAAATTAACTGCTTTGAAATATCAGATTGGAGCATACCAATTTTTTATTCCACATTTTTTGTTATATTTGTTGTGTATGTATATCATTTATGGCAGATGAGGAATTCTGTTCACGCTTCGTTTGGGTTGATAAGTCTGTCTGGATAATTAGAACTTTCTCTGGTGATGCAACAGTTTAAGTTGATACGCTGCTCATTTGCAAAAGTCTACTGTTTCACTTTCGAGGTGGTAGACGATTAGATAAACGTTAAATCGGTACGGAGGTGTGTAAAATTACTAGTTTTAACCTAAAAAAATTTCAAATGCACACAATTAGTCTAACAAGAACAGTAATAAATTTCCTACGGAGAAAATTATAACTGAAGTTGTATCTTGTTTGAAAAAAAGTATTAGTAAATTTTCTAATTCTTCTGAATTTTAAATTTTATATGTGAAACATTCTCTGTGTTGCAAGAATTAATTGTAAATTCCGCTTAGCCCTACATGTTAGACACCATCCCCTAATTTAGGGGAGACACCTCCCCTAGGACACCTGCATCCACACCCACCTCCAAACATACTGACTGACCCTCGATGATTGCTGAATACAAAATTTGGGTGCAATTAGTCTGTCACACCACAGCTCGTTCATTTAAAGTCTTCCAATATTTAAAAAATCCAAGAGGACATAAAAATTGCGTCCTTGCTCACTAAGGTAGACGAATCTACGGTCAATCCCATAAGTATTCGTACGTTTTATGTCTATTGAAGACATTTGTCTAAATTGATTAATAGGTTTGACGTCTCCAAATAAATTTTTTATGTACATATCTATAAGGAATCATTTATTTGGAAATATCGAACCTTTCATTTAATTTAGACAAATTTCTTCAACAGACATGGAGGGTATGAATAGTTATGTGACTGACCGTATATAAACAAAACAGTTTGCTAATTTATCTCACGATATTAAACCCTTACCACGTTACTCCAGCAATGCAGAGCCTATTTCAATATAGATACAGCTATCGTTTTCTCGCTCGAATCTAACGAACTATCGACCAGCATCTGAGGACTCCGAGATATTTAATCTCCGATGAAAATCTCGTGGAAAAGAGGTCGCGAAGGAGCCCGAAGCGTACGGTCCTGGTTGGGCCGCCAGGTTGGTGAACGTAGGACAGCTAACCAGGTGACGTCATTGGCTTCTCGGGTCTATGGAGGGCCTCATAGCAGCGGTAGGGGAAAGAAGGGAGAGAATGTGCTGGCCCCGCGACGGGAAAGAAGAGGAAGCGAAACCGAACGAAGGGTGGGGGATGTTCTCCAGCACTGTGCGAGCCGCTGCTTTCAGGTACGAGCGCACGGTGCCGCGTGCAGGTAGTCCCGTGCTCGGTTCTCCACGTTTCATCGCGCGCTCCAACCTTTTCGCCTCGTTGGAAACGATCAAATCGGGCTCGAAGCCAACCCCCAGACGATATCGAACGGTGCCACCCTTCGTATACGCAGAGGGAAGGTATCGCGAGGGGTTGAAACGGCGTGGCGATCCCTAAAACTCCTACTGATACGCGTACAGTCGATAAAAGTGGAGCGTCGAAGCTCACGGATCTCTGGCTTCAAGGATCATCGAGGATCCGATCGAACTTCAAGATCAAGGAGGATGGAATTCATTTGTTGTGGTGGTCCACGTGATTTGGGCGAGGTGGAGTGAAGTTTCGTCAGTGATTTCCATAAAGGATAGTGAACAGAGAGTTGCTTCGACAGCTTCTCAAAGTCGAGTGAATTCAAGACGTCGAGGACTCGAAGTGAACTGAGTAAAGTGAAGTGAATTAAAAAGGATTTCTGCGAGTAAATCGAATTACGTAATCACAATTTATCCGAGAAACCTGCGAGTCCTCGTCATCGTAGTTGCGAAGATTTTTGAGGAAACCGTGGCAGCAAGAAGAGCGGAGCACGTGGTACGCCGAAGTGGAACGGGTCGTTAACGTCCGGAAGACAGGATTCAGCGTCGTTCAGGAAACTGAATTTTTTAGTCACGCTTCCATCTGCGTTCCCCGAACTCGTCCACGGACGGATTCCCGAATCGTGATCATCCGTAAAATTGAAGCCTGAGCGTACTTTCGCTGCGTGCGTTTCCTTAAGACGTCTACCTTTCTCTGGAGACTGTAAAATATTTATCAGGGATAAAACGAACATTTATACGAGCCGCGAACGGACCCAGCGGCTCGTAGATCGAAGAGCTGACTTCACTTGCCAAACGAGTTTATGTTTTTAATCGAGTCTACGACTCGTCTGGCAACGGGTTCTCGCCAGCATATCCGGCATGCAATTTCTGGTTATGATTCCTCCTTCAGTCTTCGCGAGGGATCATCTGCCAGGGGCCCTTTCAATACCTGACCACCTGTTTCCCGTCCATCGGGCATCGTCTTTCCTTCCGTGAAAGTCGCGAGCCTCGTGTCGACGAAGACCTCGAGTACTCGTCCTTAATAAAAGACCCGAGTGTCCTGTGAAAGCAGAATAAATTTGCGACGACGAACTCTGTTTACAGAAGTTAACAGGCACGTGAACTGATTCCAAGCAGTATACAGTGTCAAATAGTATCAAATACCTGAAATTAACAAAGTCAGAGGAACCCTAGAACAGTTTCTCGTCTAATTTTCATTCTGTGTACATAGAAAGACGAGCTGCACATCACAGTTACAGGCCAAGTGCGTGCACAGAACTATCCAATTACAATCATTATCAGCTACTCAGCAAAAGCAATATACTTCCTTCCGCGGACGCCACGAGCCTCCTGTCATCGCATAATCTGGATGACAGCGTTCCGTTTCGAGCCAGATCAGCGTTATTCTAATTTTCGTCCTCCGCGCCCTATCGGCTGGGAGAAACGTTAGCCAGGTAAACTGCAAACAGAGGGAATTACAAGCGTTATCAGCTGGAGGGAAAAAGGGTCGATCGACGTAGAAACAAAAAAAAAAACGACATGTCGGACGGCGCAAGTGCAGCGACGAGATTAAGCAGCAGGTAACGAATCGCGTCTGTTGACACGGCAAACAGAGCTATCTCCACGAGAGAATTGGCGGCTAGGCGAGTCCAGCTTGAGTGGAAATTTGTATTTGCTCGGAACCAGCGGAGGGACATGTCTCCACGAACGTGGCCGCTGTTATCTCGTTCGCCAAGGGCGCGGAGGGTGCGTGCCCTAAATTACAAGTCTCGCGTCGCGAGTTCGTGAACTTTCGAAGTAGACGGCGAAGTTTTGTTCCCTTTGATCGTTATCCCGTCCACGGCGCGATGAGCGGTCACGGGCGAGTTGTATCTCGTTTGCATCGGGACGGAACGATTTCGAAAGACACGCTCCGAATGAAACGCGTACGCTCGTAGCCTGAGTCAGTGTCGAGACGTTACGAAAGAAAATGTTGAAGTGGATAAAAGTGCGCCAGGACACGTCGGCCACGCCGACGTCGTTCGACAGGGAGAAAAAGGACGAAACGGCGAGGGTGGACGTCGAGGATGTCGTTGGGGAGGAGGAGGAGGTGGACAGTGGCATGGAGAGGGAGGACACCCCGTCGAACATCGAACTGAGCGACCTGCGAAAAGTATGACCAATTATCGTGTATTCGAGGGAGGGTGTCCTAAACATTGAGCAATTTGGGGGATTTTTTTTTTTTGGAGAAACTATGAAAGTGGAAGGTTCAAAGTGTACGCGTATATTTATACGTATTTTGCCAGTTTATATGAATCTTTCCAGGTATACATAATTTAAGTATGATTGGTTATAATAAATAGAATTGAACTATTGGAAGGAAATTGATATTTGATCAGTTTCTAAAACAATTTGATATTACTTATAGCAAAAAATGGGGAAGCTACGTTAGTTTACTAATTATGACTGCTGTCATATATTCTTGTATGATAACTGAAAATGAAGGCACGTTACCCGTTAAAAAAGACTGAATCATCCCGAACATGGAACATCCCCTAAACAAATCACTACATTCATTTTTTCAACACTAACACCAATACCAGTGTTACTCCAATTTGCGATTATAAGTATCAATGTTAAAATCACATAGAAACCCTTATTATCGCCAAGGTAACTCATTATAAATAATTAATCTCGCCGTAGCACGTAATTGACGAAGGTCGAGGTATTTAAATCGACAACTTTTTTTTCAAGAAAGTTTATGCGTGGTTGCTCAACACGATAAATGTGTATTTCAAAATTTATTGCTAGTTTTTTCGCACCATTCGCAATTCTTATTTTCACCGCTACGCGTCCCTGAACGATGTACCGTTTCACGCTTGTTCTTTTTCTTGTTTAATAACAAAAAATTGTTTTCGCTGTCTAGCATCGCGCGTATCTTTACAGCACAGACGTATGCCACGCTTTCGTTTGTATCTTCGCAAGCTGCTCGTGTATTAATGGTTAATTCATCCTTTTTCAACTGTCGCAGACGTTCTCGAGAAGGTATTGAGGTTGGCAAGATAAGAATTGGAATGAGTGGAGCTGTGCGCGGAGACCACTTAGAGCAATACACATGGCCCGTCTTTAAAATGTCGTTAGTGCATAATTTCTTGCTTGTGCCACTCCAGCAGATTTTCTCCCTCTCTCTCTTTCTCTCTAGATTTTATCGTCTTCTCTTATGTTACGGTATAGCGTCTAACTGTTCCTTAATAATTATCCTCGATCGGGGTAATAAACCACGGACGATAATTGTAATTTGAAATGAAATTCCTGTTTGAAGTCGACAGGGAGAAGTTTAACTAATGTTGGAACATCTCTGGTCGTTCGAAGTACAAAACTGGCAAATAAATTGCGCTGAAATTAGCGAGATATTCGATTATAGCTCGTTGGAGTACCATCTTTTTAGCTGCATGCAAATTTTATAGGGTAATTTACTCACAGTAATTTGTTAAAAATTTCTATTCGCATCCACGTGAGTTTACAATTCAATGAAAATTATACCACTTTAAAAACTTCAACTAAAACCTACCAAAATGCATCTTACACTTTCCGAAGTAAATTTTCTTTATATAAATCTTGGTAAAGTAAATCGTAGCGGTGGAGGGTCGCTTTCATTCATCGATTTCACTCGCACAGCAATGTTGTTTCTGCAAGCCGTCTAGTTTTTTCGACGCCAGGCTATAACCTGCTCCCAACAGGTGCGACATCCTTCTCGATGCACGTGGACGTTCCAGCTACTATCATCGTCAGTGTATAGGCCTGCCACATCTATCACTACCATTACCGCTGGTTCTCCACTCCCAGCACCGGATACCGATCGGACGACTTTCATTGAGAATTTCACCCGCCCATTTGCGGTTCTTTCGGTTCGACCTGCGTCCATTTTTTCCAATTCTTGAATCGAAATTTTAGAAACTGAGTGTGGTTGTCTTCCTTCTTTTCAATTGGATCGTATTATCCACAGGTTTATGTTAACTGAATATTTATTACTGGTAAATTTCGGTGACTGAAATTCTGATTATTCTTTCAAAACGAAAGAATGTGCTATTTTGAAGAATAGAGAAAGAAGAAAGGGATGATAGGAGGAATGCATATAACATAAACTGTAAACAAATGGATTGGAGTAAAATTAGGAGCTAGAAGTTATATTACCAAATTAAGAATAAAATATATTACTACGCTCAAAGTTTCATAAAAATTCAAAGTGGTCAATGAGTTATATTAAACATTGCCAAATTATGAATAAAATATATTACTACGCGCAAAGTTTCATAAAAATTCAGGGTGGTCACTGACCCTCGTTTTCATTGCGAGAGCTAGCCTGCTATCACTTCCTGTCGTTATCAGTTATTCCACTCGACCCAGTCCAACAGATCGTTCGAAAAAACTTTACAGATTTTCATTGCTCGTTGCTCAGTCGCGTTGGGTACTTCTAAGTCGGCGTTTTTTCTTCGTTAAAGTTTTTGCACACCTCTGTCTCTCGAAATGCTGCGTTGAGCAACCACCCCGAAGCGGTGCTGCACGTCGACTTTCTACGTGTGACCGTTGCCCGCCGATCGTTCGAAGATTAGTTACGAAACTAACTCGTTTACCCCGCGCCAACAGCGTGGATCGCATTTTACCCGCGGTATTTTTGCACAATCGCTTCCAGAGAACGCATCCCGATGGCATATCGAGAGAGAAGAGTCGAAATCGCCGAGTCGCGGTTTCTCCTGTGATAATAGCGCGGAAAATGAGCTATTCAGTCACGCAGGTTTCGAAACCGGGATGAGACTGTCAGAATAATTTAATATCGTAATGTTTAGACGGTCAAACAGAAATAGCAAAATTTTACTCGAACGATAGATGATGATCAGAAAGTATTCTTCATCGAACAGTTACTCGGATAAGCTTTCATTAATCTGACTTAAAATTTGATTTCATTTTATTCGGAATTATTTTCCATTATTCCATTTGTTTCAAAAGCTACTTATCTTTTACTCTCCATTCGAAGTTTATGTCTAAATGAAAGTTCTTTGCGTATGAGTATATCTGTTTGAATGTTTGCGCAGATCTAATCTATGTTTCTTTTCTTCGCGTGCAGAAAGAATGCAACAAGCATTCCCAGCTCAATTTCGAAACCATTTCCAGCGCTCCTTCATTCATGCCGCGGTGATATGCTGATTAGGGAAAAGAAACTGAGCGTACGTTCCTCGCGATGACTAAACGGGGGATTTGGTTCGGGTCGCCGCTCCGATTTACATACGCCCAGAGATTTGCATACGTTTATGTAATGGGAAATTGAGAGTGCGTGGGTGTTATGAGTTTCCTTTTGCGTTCGCCAGCAACTCGAACCACCGTTTCACGATGGAGTAATTTGATTGTTGGTCAGTTCCTGTTTTGGTTAGTCCTGCGGACTACTGGTCTTGATCCTCAGTGCTTCTTTGGAGCTCGATAAAAGACACGAGTGTTTTTACATGATAGTATCGGTTAGTGTTTTAATAGATTTGAATAGAACTAAATAGTTTACTGTGCTATCGCTAAATAATTGTTGAATCTTTTGAATGTGGAAATTCAAATACAAATAGATTCATTAGAAATAAATCGTGCTTTTTTCTTGCTCTGGAAAACCCTACAATTATGTAGTATTTATTGTTGCTGTTGAGTGTACCTAACTTTTAGAAGTATTATTAGAATTCAACAAGTGATTCCAACCAGAGCTAAAAGATATTCTTCTGTTTGTTTCAACAAAATGTCTGTATTATCTCTAAGCGCTATTCTAGAAAGCCTAGGATAGATTTTTAAACGTGTAAAAATAGATAAGATCGTTTCTTCTGGTGTTTGAACTTGAGATCTTCCTATGTTTCCAAATTCAAAATGTTTCATAAATTGTCCAACGTGTTTCGCAACTCCAGGAGTAAATTCACCGCGGAAAAATATTTAAGAATACTCGCGTAAACGCTCGTTCTTATTCTTAACATGAGAGATGCGTTTCAACATAGCACGCGTTACGACGCGTATCCTGCGAATAACCGAAACAAACATTGCTCAGTGATGTTTATATTTTCGTATAAAATTCGTGCCGTAATTGTTACTAAACACTGCTCAGCAAAGACTGCGTACGATGTTGCACAACAAAAAAACTTTTCCATGTTTGGCGACATTTGGCTCGAGGACGTTTTTCGCGACGATAACGCGATACCTCGCGCCGCGTGTAAAAATGGGAATATTTGCACAGCCTTCGTGACACGTGGAGTGTCTTCGGCATTGTTCGTGTCCTGTTTCGTAGACAATACACCCGCGTGTCGTGTCAAGGAACGCTCTTCTTCGCCAGAAAGTTTATCGTTCAATGCTGCGACGCAGGTTGCACTTCTTTTTTTAGGAGTTCTTGTCATCTTAAACTGAACGACACATGATATCGCCACACGGAAAAACGCGTAGATTCTTCGTAAATTGGAGTTTAACAATTTATAATATATCGACATTGTCGAAGGTATTTTGTTGGACTTTGATTGATCGAATGGGAAGTAAAGCTGGATCTTATATAATCAGAGTAATATTAATTTAAATATTAAATTCTTGTGCCTCATGAAATTTTTTATGGAATGTAAACTTCTTATTATTGTTATTAAAAAATGAACAAGGTGAATATGTTTGACTCCTGATAATACACTGCTAAATGCATCGACACTAGGGTTCAAACCTGTTTATTATGTAAATAAGCAAACAAATAATTCAAGAAAAGATACTGTAGGATTATACTTTTTAACAAAACACAAATAGCATGGAATATATTCGAATTGTTACTTTCAAATGAAAGTACACATCAATACAATTAAAGGTGAAATCTTGCAACTTGTTATCAAAAAATAATTTTAAATGCACTTTGGGAAAAACCCTTTAATTCGCAGCAATCTCATTAACTCATTTGGAGGTGGACGATACTAAACGTTGGTCATTTTGTGCGTTTCAGGACCTGTTCTCGCAGCTCCAGTTCTCGCAAGAGAGCGCTTTGCCCCCCGACACGCTGCGCCGCGCACTCGCGGAGAGTTTTCTGGATCAGCAAAGGTTCCAGCTCGGATTCATGGACGACGCGGCGGAATGTTTCGTAAGTAGCAATTACATAGCTCGTTCCCTTTGTCCTATTACGCGCGAGCAGCCTAGTCGATGTGTCGACACGCCGCACGCGAATCTAGGCAAAACGGGTTTTCGTCCCTCTCGTCCGACCAATAGCAATTTTACTCCAACTTGGAATGCCGATAGATCGATTTGTCGAATTGGAACGCAGCTGGTAAAGACGCGGATTAAGCGTTGAGTCGACCAGTGGACTTTTATAGAAGAAAGTTTGAAAATTCTTTGACTCGAGCTCGAACGAGAGTGAGACTTCTTGCATTTCGCTTAGACGGAATCTAGAAATGTAATCGATGTGGAAATAAATAGAAAGTCCAGTGAATGAAAATTAAAATTAAATACCACAATTTTTTGAAGCGACAAATGAATTATTAGACTTTGTTAATTAATGATGTGTCAAGCTAAAAGTCTATTAATCTAAGTAGCGACAAATGTTGGGAAACGCAGTAATACATGATAGTTAGCGACTATAAAGGAGAACTGGTTCAGCCGTTAGAGTACTCAGGATCGCAAACCGTTCGGAAAATCGCCTCCGCACGATGGAAATCGCGATTCGAGTAGCGCGAATGTCGAAGGAGAGAGATTTATGCCTGCGCTGATATTGGCGCGTGTAATAGCCAATAATTCTTTGGCATAAGCAAAAACCTCGATACACGTATGTACATCGAGTCTTTCGTTTCCTTAGTGCCCATGCGAAACGTTATACAATACGTAAATACGTAATTCGAAAGTTTACAGCAGAACGTAATTCTTACAAAAATGAACAAAACCAGACATCTGTTAGGAATTCATAAGTTTAAGAAATCCGCTATTCTATTGAAACAAAAAATTTGAACAGGGTTACGATATTCTTCGCAATACATAATTTGTTAAACTGTCTGTTAAATTGGACAAGCTCATGAATAATAAATATCTTCGGGAGTAATGGGGAGACATCGTGTAAAAATTTAATTTGCAACAGTCGAGCTGTTTGAAATTATCATAGAACCTAGTCATCTTCACAATCTGGAATAATAAGATAAATTTACTTTCCTAGCAAGAGCATAAACAACCCAATGAAAGAAAAATTATTCTGAAGTAAACTTAACTTGTATAAAGCACACCATCGACAAGTCACATACACAGACACAGATTAAAAGACTATAAATTATGAAGCATGAGGGTCGACGTAAATTAAAACAATATTACCTTCTCAGATTTCAAATTCTACATGTTTCGAGCATGCGATCGATACTCCTGTACCACAGTGGTCGTAAATTCTCCTACACTTTTGCGATGTATGCAGTTCCTGAGAGAAACGATTTCTAGCAACGCAACAGAAACACCTTAAGTACGGATTAGTTACGTTTCGCTATTCAAATCGCAGCGAGCACGCAGGAATTCATAATTTGCGGTCATTGGACACGCATACAATCTTCCAGGAACGATTAAGCGCAGAAGAATATAGAACAAATGAAACCCCAGCGCAAAAAGTTCCCATCGATGTACCCACTTGTTAAAATCACTGTTATCGATGATTACTCGATGACTTCTATTTTTAGCAGTTTCATAACGAACCGAGGCGCATTAACGTAATTCTCGTTGCAGGAAAACATTCTTCTGCGTATACACCTGCACATCGCCAGCGGGGAAGCCGAGGACATGTGCAGCGCGAGACACTGCGTGCCACACCAGAAGTTCGCCATGACGCTCGTCGAGCAAAGCGTTTGCGGAGCTTGCGGTGCCACTTCGGAACCACTGCCTTTTACACAGGTCAGTCTGATCGATGTTACTCGCCACGCTATGATAACAGCACGATACGTGAATAAATAACAAGATTTGTCAACACCTGTACCACCTCAGCGTCTTCTTCGAATAGATGAAAGGTCAAAGGGTGTTCTTCAATTTCACTATTTTAAATAAAATTTATTAATGGTAATAGGATTGAGTCAACATCTGAACCATCTTCCTCAGCGTCTTCTTCGAATAGATGAAAGGTCAAAGGGTGTTCTTCAATTTCACTATTTTATATAAAATTTATTAACGATGATAGGACAAATCATTTGTTTGTCAGAAGCAAACGTCAGAAACGTTTATTTTAAAAATCATAAAATGAATATATGTCTATTTCAAACTTTCTTTGGTTCCTTAACGTATGAATTGTAATCACGTCCATACACGGGCACCATGCATTATGATTTTGCAAAAGTTGGGAGGCTGAAAGCAAGAGTGTGTCGCTTTAATGTTACATTCTAGAGGGTGTAAGGGAAAGTTGAACATCCTTTATGAGAACGAGAAGCACGTTACTCAACGTCCAGTTAGTATCCGCGAATGTAAATACCAAGTGAAACTTTTATCAGCAAGAAACTCTTCGAAGACTTAGGTACATTCGTAGATATTTCGTACTCGAAGACACTACATTTCTGCAACTCTCGGACGCTCTACCAATAAAAATCGCCGCGTTGATGGCTGTCCTCGCGGGCACTAAACGTGTTTCTTGCGAAACTTTCCATCTGGCTTCAAGGATAGAGTCGGCAATACTGATTGGAATAATAGCTTGTTTTGTAAAAGTATATTCGACGTGACAACAGTCTATAAAATGCTTTCGACCGAAACTTAAATTATTTTTAGCCCTTTGCACTCTGCGCCATTACGTTGAGAAATGTGCAACCAGGAATCGCATTACATAAAATAATCTAACTTTGGAAACGTGTCTTTTTTGGTATTATTAGACTTGATTAAAAATTCTTATAGCTTTCTTGAAGCGTTCACACCACTGCAAATGTAAAGTATTTATATTAGTATATTAATACCCACGGCTACAGTAATGTATATGTTATTGTCTCTAAATAATAATGAGATATAGAATCAAACAATAATTATTTACACCTTAGAAACTTTATGGAATATAAAGGAAAAAATATCTTTCAGTATTCTTCGTCTTCTATGTCCCTGAAAATTTTGTTTATTATTAACAAGGAAGACTCCCAAGAAAACAAAGGTATGAGTACTTTATAAAGTTTGTCAAGACTACTATCAAATAAAATTCTCCATGAAAGCATCTGTCGACGCGATTTTGCACCACCTAGTCGCAGCTTTTCAGTTTCCCATGTTCTCGCAGGTAAAACTAGAAAATTGCTCGAGAAAACCTGCCGTTCTTCTGGTAGAACCAGGTCTTTGGTTCCATTGTTTGCTTCCAGGAACCTCGAAATCGACACGCTCAAGGGTGGCGCGGGTTCGTTTGGCGGGTGGACGGGAAAGTAAAGGGAAGTTGGCCCCTTTGGTGGGTTTAAACGATTTAAGCGACTTAGCTAAGAAGCCTAAGTGCGTTAAGATACTGAACGACCGAGTCGCCGCCGTGTAAACGGATTAGGATTTCAACTGATCAGGATTTGACGGCTCATTGGCGGCGACCGACGGGGTGAAATGGGAGGGAAGGAGTTTGGAGGAGAACTATCGGATCAAGGGATACTATTTCACGCGATAAACTCGGGACTCGGTTCAGGGACGCGCGAAGCTGGCTTGGAATTGATAATGGCTTCTTGAATCAGTTGTGGGAGACAGTAGTTCGTATGACAATTAATTAATTCTTTGGGAGTTCGGAGTGTCCAGGTACACGTAATTTTTAAAATGGTTTTAATATGAAGTAGTATAAAGAAAAAAGAATATAATTTTGCACAGCACTATCGCTGGATAGTGCTTTTAAATATATATATTTTATAAGTATCCTTTGTTTTGAAATCTGATGGATCTTCTGGAAGAGAGGTGACAGAAATTGTTGCAAATAGCGTATACAAAATATTATCTGAGTGCCACGTGCGTATCCCACTGTGTGCGAAAGGGTTAATTAAATTTCTAGTTACCAGCATGAAACTACTTCCGGGGAAGTTTGAGTAGAAGAAAGTAGGAGCACCAGCCGCGAACAAATGCGATAACGAAAGTCGCATTTCTCCTCCAGTACTTTATAGTTACACTTTTTCTGTAATAAAATTACACAATTTTCCGAGAAGTTCGCGGCCAACGCGTCGAGGGAAATTGTATTTCCATTGCTGGTTGCGTGGTCTCTGTGCGTTCCTACTTTTTAAGTAATTTCTTTTATAAATCCAAGTTTTTCTTGCCTAGCACTAACTGTAACGTTATTTAATTCTTACGAAATTATTATATTTGAAGTTACGAATTTTATACTCGATCGCTATGGAGGAATTATTTATCCTTGACATCTTCTTAGATCAAAATACCGTAAGCTACGTTTCTGGTAGATTTAACCAAGCAAAAGTCAGTACTTCGTTGCCCAATCAGGCGCACAATTACGCGGGAAAATTGGACGTGCTTCGAGGTACGCAAGAACAAAAGCAATGCCCTTTCGAGCACGTATATGGTACGTCGGCCGCATAATCGAGTCCAGAGCGCAAACAACTCACGTGGGTGGAGTTGGTTCTCCCTTCTTGCGCTCGTATCGACTGTTGTCGGCCGATTGTAAAAACGTGAAACTCGTTGCAATCTCGTATCGGTCATGGCCGATCGCTTTTACCGCCTTCCGCTGGCTACCAGCTCCGAGGAACGATCCACGATCAAAGGGAGAGTTCGGAGAGAAAACTTTCGATCCCACAGAAGCATTTCTCCGTAAGCATATAATTAACGAATAGAGATCTCCAGTTAGACAAGAATTTTTCCCGTATTTATTACCTCAAACTTATAGCAAACTTCGACGTATCTAGTGCTTTCCATGTCGAGTGTCTCTGGTTGCGCAATATTTTCATGAATAAACCAATATTTCACGGCCTTTACGCGACTCGTGACAAGAATTATGGCCCTAGCTGGAACAATGTCGTTCCTCGCATAATAACAATGTTAAAAATATTGAATGGATTGATTTCTTATCTGGCTTCGAGTGCAGGAAATTTCCCTTGGATACGCGTGCATTTAATGACGCGAGTTGATCTTGCTAGAAACCGGTACTCTCGTTCTTGTTCATAGACGGTGAAGGAATGAGAAGGTTTTACAAATTCTTCGGTCCTTGGAATTTTGTTTGGCGTCCAGGTTGATGAATCATTATCCCTAGAAGATTTGAAGAATTGGACTCTTGATTCAATTTTTTCTTCAATTATTCAATTCTTTTAATTCTTTCTCGATTATTTTCAATCATTTTTTTTCCTTCGGCTGTTTGTTATTTTACGGTTTGCATCGTTATTTTTTGTTCCAGATGGTTCATTACGTGTCAGCGTCGGCATTGACGTCGCAAGCGAGGCAAACGCCGCCGAATGCTCGAAACAGCTCGGATCTCTTTGGTCAGCTCCTGAGGAAAGCTGGAGGAATGGGTGACATCAGGGACTGTCCGGTGAGTAAACGCCATTTCAACGAACGAAAGGGTTTCCTGGGATACATTCCCGCCGGAGCGTGTAAAAATTTCTTCACCGCGAGCGATTCACGGCTGGTGCACCTTGAACGTTAGTTCAGGTGGCCCGAGTTCGATTCATCCCGCTCGCAAGATCAGGTACACTCTCCTTCGGCCTTTCTTGGGAATAATATCTCCCGGGCGTAGACTTTCTCTTTGAAGTGGAACGATGACTGTTGTCGAAGACCACCGGGTATATCTCGTCTGTCGCGGATGCTGCGCGTTGCGATTGACATTCGGTGGAACGGAAATTTCTCAGAGTTCCCGGATATTAATAATTGATAATTACGATGGATAATTAATTGGCAACTTTTCCGGATAGCTACGGTCGCATAGTTCAACGTGTTTTTCAATACTTCGATTCTGTTGTATTGGATATTATCACGGGGAATTATTATTATTATTGTGTCGCAATGTTTGTATTCTTTATTGAGAATTTATATTTCTCATCCAGAATGATGCATGTTCACATATCTATACGTGTACTCGACTTTTCCAGTACCGTTTTAATTTCATTGGAGGTGGGAAGAAGATCCTTTATTTCAACATCGCGGAGCTTCTTTCACCTCGACTGAAACGCGATGGCCTTGTAGAGATTTTTTTAATTTAAATGAATGTTTCCAAGAAGTTAAACTGGAATTACTTCCCCATCCAGAGGATTACGAACGAGATGGAATAAACTGCACGATAATGAGTTAAAGAAACTCCTTTACGAATAAAGGCACAAATGTGGCATAACAGATGTGAAATGAAAATTTTATGATGAAGTACTCTAAATATTTTAGACTCGAACAGAACTAAAGTTGTTCATTTTTGTACTGTCAAGCATACAAGTCAAATAAATAATATCGAATGTGATTTTTGAAATTGTTCAGAGTTCCTGTGGAGCCAAAATCCAAATATGCAGAACGCTGATGAACAGACCGGAAATCGTTTCGGTTGGAGTTGTATGGGACAGTGAACGACCATCGTTGGAGCATATCATGGACGTTTTCGCGACCGTGGGAACGTCCCTTCGGCTGAGCGATGTTTTCCACAGCGTCGTGGACTCCCGGTGGGGTGCCTCGACCGTGCACAACCTCGTAGGAGTCGTCACTTACTACGGAAAACATTATTCCACCTTCTTCTTCCATACTAAATTAAAGGTGAGCATCTGCTTCGCGCTTCCAATTATCCCAGCAAAAATAATATCTTACTGGTCGTTATTTAACTACTAGATGAACATTTTATTAATTTGAATAACTTAATTTCACGATGTATATTTGTTTAAATTTATTTAATCTGATAGAAAATTATCTTTCACTGTATGTTTGTATGAATATTATATTGGGGGCAGGATAAATTCAACTACAATTCAATAAATTTATATACTATGCAATCATTCGGTATCATGTTTAATTCTTAATGTTCCATTATTTTATTAAAAGCAACTAACTGTAATCAGAAATAATTTGCTACAAAGCTGATTTCCCAAAAAGGTCTAAATAATCCACGATTCTAAATGTTACACAATACTTCATAAATAGTTGTGTTATAATTTCTAAATGAGGCACGGACAAATTACAATGATGAAGAAATCTTTCTTACTTCATCTTTAAATACGAAGTGTGTTAATCGTGCCGCAGGTCTGGATTTACTTCGACGATGCCACCGTGAAGGAAATCGGTCCTCGTTGGGAGCAAGTCGTGGAGAAGTGCAGGAGAGGTCGATATCAACCCCTGCTCTTGTTGTACGCAACCCCTGGTGGAACACCAGTTAACACGGAAAACGCTCCCAAGACAGTGACGCCTTTTCCAAACGGAAATGGTCTTAAGACGCCACCGAAGAATAATGTTCGCCGATCGATCACTCCCAGTCCAGAGAAACCATCGATCAACAGCACCGCTAGACGTGCCATTACCCCCAATCCTGATAGTCCTCCTCATCCTTACACTCAGCGGAGGATCTACAGCGATTATCAGAACCTCACCGACATCCAGAACAACATCTTCGGGAATCAAGTAAGATTTTAAAAATTTCTAATCGCACCGATTCGAACGATTTAAAACATCACTCGACTTTCACTTCAACTTTGGCAAAACACCTATCGTTTTGGACATCGAATAAAAATTGCATTCCAAGGCCTCAAAACTTTTAATATAGAATCTGTATCAGAAATTCTCACATGAGCCAAATATTTTTCTTGACGAACATTGTTTTTTTTCTCGTTATAAAGGGTGTGGACGTAGTCGATGGCGATGCAGAGTCGAAGTACATCAGTCGACGAGCGGTGGAAACCGTGATGCAACAGCAGAAGAAGCAGCAGATGCAGCTGACGCGTAGTTTGAGTGCAGGATCGACGCCGCAGGACGGCATCAGTATTCCGGATCACTTGAACGTGCCACGAAGACGAGATTCTGGTAACTGGTCGGGCGATCGGAACAGCGCCTCCTCGAGTTCGTCGACGACGATGGACAATCCGTATCTGTACATCGTGAACAAAATGCAGAGGAACTCGGGGGTGCCCAAGAGCCCCACCAGCAAGTCTGGAGAACTCTCCAGCAGCAGCAGTGGCCACTACGATGCTGGATACGATTCGTACTCTTTGTCTTCCACGGATAGCCTTCCGCTTCAGCAGGGCCTGAAACACAATCTGCAGGTACATATTCGGAAACCTTTATAGTTTGCTAAAAACCCCCAGTAGTGAAAATAATTCATTTTGTAGTATTTTTGATAGAAAAAGCTATAGTACAGCTTGTTATTTCACGTGTGATACTCGAATTCATCAGCAATATTTTGTTCAATGTAGCTTGCTCAGATCCCAGAAGGCTACCAGGCCGCGAATGGCGACGATTGCGAGCGTCTCTGCAAGGAAACTGACGCGCTCTTGGATAAATCCCGAGCTGCAGAGGATGCGGGCGACCTTAGCACTGCGGTAGCTCTGTGCAGTGCAGCCAGCAGCAAAGCTAGAGCAGCCATGGACGCGCCATACAACAACCCCCACACGATCACGATAGCGAGGATGAAGCATAACACTTGCGTCATGAGGACGAGGAGCTTGCACAGACGAATGCTACAAGAACAGGCGACGGCTAATGGTGAGAAAGAAGGTAAGCTACGTAAAAGTAATTTAAAGGATAAATAGTAAGTGAATATAAAAGAAAAAATAATTAGCTATCGAAAACTTAGCATACACTATACAGTGAAAGACTTATTCAGATTTCAAGCTTGGCATTCAAGCATAATATGCTTTATTATTTTTCTGTTCAATTATTCGTTTGAATATATTAATTAATAGTTTAAAATATTCCAAAATCACTGAGTCCAAAAATGCATTTTTAATTTCAGAAGGCGCCCCGGAAGGTAGACATTCCCGAGAGAACAGTAAATCCGGCCAACACTCTCGACAGAGTTCGAGGGACAAGGGAAGCCATTCCAGGCAGAACAGTCGCGAGCTTCTGGTAAACACGCCAGCAATGATCGCGGACAAACCTGCCTCGAAGAGCATCGAGATCTACGCCACTCTGCCGAAGAAGAAGACGCTAAGAAGCAAGGCTACAGCCGTGAACGTGATCGAGGACGAGGAGTACATGCTGTACGATCGACCAGTTCAAAGGACAGGCTTGTTTAGTCGCGCGAAACGCTGCGACGACGACAAGAAGGACAAGAAGCGCGCTCGAAGCGAGGAGAGGAACAAGAACGTCTCGAAAGACTTCTCCATAGCCCCGTCTCGATTGTCGCCCTCTCTGAAAGGGACGAAAGCTGACAAGCCTAAAGAAACTGACACGGCTGTCAATAACGCTCGAAACTCCCAGCAGAACAACGCCAATGGGGAGCAGAAACAAGGGAAGAAGCAACACAAGATACGCAGGAAACTGTTGATGGGTGGATTGATCAAGAGGAAGAACAGGAGCATGCCGGATCTGCGGGAAGGACAGGACAACCAGACGAACACCAGCGTCGAGGGGTCCTCCAACACCTTGCCGAAGCAGTCAGTGGACGATTCCAGCGTTGGATTGAAGGGCAACGAGGTTTGCCAGTCTCTGAGCGGTTACTTGTCAGAGGGACACTTGGAGTTCACTGGGAGCAACAGCGGTAACCCCAGCAGCACGGGCAACCCGAATCTGGAGAGAAGTCGTCTGATGAGGAAGAGCTTCCACGGCAGCGCCGGTAAAGTGTTACACGTAGCGAAGGTACCCCCACCTCCTCCGCTCAGGACCACTTCTCAGCTTAGCAAGTCTAAGTGTTCGGGTGAAGTGCACAACGAGCAGCAATCCGAGAAATCGGTGTACCCGTTGTCGGAGGGACAGTGCCCGTCCAATCCACCTCAGGAGCAGAATGGATCCTATTGGAATCACGTGAACACGGGGAATTCTTCCAACGGGATCAACAGGAGCGGCAATTACGCCGACTATTCCGCAGAATCCCATTCTTTGCCGTTTTTACCTACCTACGGTATGGAACAGAGCGCTGCCAACGTTCCTACATCGTGCCAATCCAATTATAATAACAAACCTCGGATTCAAGATGACGTGGTGCAGTATGCCAACGGAATCTTGTACGAGCCAACGTTCGTGGTTACTCGAGCAGACGTGCACAACGAACAGAGTCCCGTGAAGCAACCGAGCCAAGTTGAAATGCTGCCTCCGTATCCTGAAAACGGAAACGTGTCTCATTCGAGGCAACCCAGCGAGGACTTCCCTCCGCCTCCGTATCCTTCTATTCACTCTGTGTCCCATTCGAGGCAAGCCAGCGAGGACTTTCCACCCCCGCCACCACCAATCGACGATACACCGAATCATATCCAAGAAAACCAACAACAGTATCAGCAACAACAGTACCAGCAGCAGCAGTACCTCCAACAGCAATACCAGCAGCAACAGACTGCTATTCTCATGCAGCAGCGTCAGCAACAGTTGGACAATCAACAGATCAGTACTTTGTTGACGCAGTTGCAGATTAAAAGGGATCAGATATTGGCTTCCAAGGCTAGAGAGGAGAGAAGGCCAGAGGACCATGACGAAGACGAGAAGTCAGCTAGCGAAACGTGGCTTCGCGAGTTGCAGGCTAAACAGGCGGAAAGGAGGATGAAGAAGCAGAGTCCTTTGGATCAGGATATTCCGAAAGTGAGGTGTTCTGCTCCGATGTCAGGTTCGACTGTTGCGAGGCGAACCAGCGATTTGATGATGAACAGTTTGGGGCAAAGTTACGAGCAAGCCAGTCGCGACGTTCCCGATTGCCCGCGAGTCGTTTCGTCTGTTAAGGACATGGCGGCTAGGTTCGAGCAAATTAAATTGCAGCCTGCGGCGAAAGCTGAACCAGACCAGAAGATTTCTGTTAAACAAAACATCAACTGCGTTTCGTCGTCTCCCTTGGTGGACATGTCCCAAGACGTTCAGCAGCCAGAGGAGTCGAGACCAGTGAAGCTTTCTTCGGAAAACTTGGCAACCTTCTCCAAACCTGAGACTTCTTCGAGCCAGTCCGTTCTGAATTCGAGCTTCGAGTCGAGTTCGAGTCAGAACACGTTCGTCTCGACCTCGGCTCCCACCAACCCCGTTAACGCTCAGCAGAGTGGACTGAACGCCGCCATTATGTCCATGTCTCTGACTCTGCCGCACGAGAATGGTCTGCCAGTGGATTATCCTGAAGATGACATCAGCGAAGTTGCCATGCAGAACACTATTCAGAATACGACGATCCTGCCCAGCGAGGAGGACATCGCTCCGAGAAAGGTGAAACGACGGATAGGGAAGAAGAAGAGCGTGTCGTTTTGCGATCAAGTCGTCCTCGTGGCCACTGCCGAGGACGACGAAAAGGACTCCTATATCCCAAATCCCATCCTCGAGAGGGTTCTACGATCGGCGATGAACAAGCCAGAGACTGCCCAAGTATTGAGAGAGATCAGAAGCTTGCAAGAGGCGGAACTGAACCGTGAGAATTGCACTGCCATCAAATTCCAACAGCAGACTCTTCCTCTGAAGAGCGAGGCTGACAGCGTACCTGCGACTCCCTATCAAGATCAACTGCGAAGCGTGAACCCTATACCAATACCTGACACGATCAAGCCTACTTTCGGTAGACAGAACTCGAACGAATCGGTGGGATCGCTGTCGGAGAAGAAACACTGCAGTCCGTACGTCAACGAAGGTCAGGACGTCGTCAGGGAGACTTATTCGGGAATATCGAATGTTTCTAAGCCTCCCACCTCGTACTCTCCTCAGTTGCAGCAGCAAATAAGGTACTCGCAGAACGGGTATATGCCTTATTTGCAATCCCAGTCGACGTATCCTCAGACTCAGACATCTCATCCGAGGAATCAGACTATTCCCATCTCGCAGACCCAGAAACCAGCTAGCCCCTATCCCACCCAAATTCACGGGCAGTACGTTCAGAACAACGTGCAACAGCAGAAACCCGTGTGCCAGAAAAACACCTACCAAACGTACTACCAGCTGGAGCAGCAGCACAATCAGATGAACAAGCAGATGTCGCAGCAACAGCAACAGAACATTAACCAGAGGATCGCGAATCACAACGCGAGTCCAATAACAGTGCAGCACTCTCAGCAGCAGTTCGCTTATCCAGCGAACCAATCGCCGAGCCCTTATCAGAATCAGTACACCACCCACAGTTCCTATCAGGGTTATCCCTATCAGACCGTTCCTCAGCAGAACAGGATGAGCCAGCCGTTGCCTCAGTACCAACCGCCCCCTAATCCGCCGACCAACAACTATCAGCAGCAGCAGCAGCAGCAGCAGCAGCAGCAGCAGCAGCAGCAACAACAACAACAACAACAACAACAACAACAACAACAACAACAACAACAACAACAACAACAACAACAACAACAACAACAACAACAACAACAACAACAACAACAACAACAACAACAACAACAACAACAACAACAACAACAACAACAACAACACCAACAACAGCAGCAGCAGCAGCAGCAGGGTGTGCAGAATTATCAGCAGAGGCACGAGAATTATCAAAGAGCTCCGCAAAAAGCTGACCAACAGAATATCTTGGCGCCCAATCAGACCTACCCGAACCCGCTACAGAACGGTCAGATACAGTCCAACATGAAATACCCCACCTATCAGCATCCGCCTGTGTCGAAACAGAGCAAGCAAATGCACTTCGTGTCAGCTGGCAAGGGCAACGCGACGATTGCTCAAACTCAGTCATCTTTGCAGAAACCCGTTGTCGGAAGCGCGGCTAGAACCGCGCCGTGTCACCTTTGCAGGAAGAAGCAGGTAACCGAGCCTGCCATCTACTGCTCTGACTGCGACTTTTACATGTCCCGTTTCCGGCCGAAGAACTGAAGTCGCGGCCACAAGGAACTATCACCCAGCGCGTCGATTTTAATGAAACTTGACATACAGGTAGAGTATTGACGAATATTAGACACGTATTTCTTTTATGTCGGGTGATATTCTTTTTTAAAAGGTGAAACTACCCCTGAAGTTGTGATCCATATACCTGGTTAATTAAATTTCTTGCAAGCTAACGGCGATAGAAAAAAATGTTTAATATAAAAGAAGTTTAATTTTTAACAAACAATAACATGTTTTTGATATAAATCGTACCGAGACACTGGCGATTACGTCGCTTTTTTATAAAAGTTTGTAATAGAACATGTTTTGTTAGCTGAAAACTGGTCAATTTAAACAACAAGCCAGTAAGCACAATGTTCAACGGGTGAAAACTACCCTCAGAGGGTGAATGACCTATTTAATTAAAATATGTGTCTAATGTTTTTCAATGCTCTACTTGTATATCAAGTTTTATTACAACGTTCCTTGTATGTTTTGTTCACCGGAACGTTTATCAACGTTTTCCGGCGGATTTTACCATTGTTGCTTCGCTACTTTTGACGATGTTGCACAGATTAATCTAACTATCGGAAACGGCAGCGAGTTCGTATATTTAATTTAAATAGAGCTTGTAGACAAACCCGCAGCCGATGTAATGGAAATAGCGAGAAGCCCTGGCCTGCTTTGTACAAAGTTAAGATTAGATGTAGACCTTGTATCATTGGAGACCTTCGTCGAGCAGCTATTAATTATATTGTATTATTGACGATGTATCTAGCGTCGCTTGTAATTTATGGTAGATCGTGTAGAAAGAATGTATTCGAGTTTTTTCCGCGTTTATTATACAACAATTGTTATTTCGCGCTTAGGTTACGCTTCCTTTTTTATTGTTTATTACATGCTTCTCTTCTTTTCTGTTGTACATACGATTATCCCCGCGGTACTGTTTAAGTTTCTGTATAAATTCGACGTTTTTAGCTAGATTTAAGTTAGATTTAAGAGAGTTAGGTTTCTAGGAGCGAGCGTTTCAGTTTTACGCACACGTTTGGCTCTACATGTGTACTTCGTTCGCGAGACAGATTGTCAGAATTGTGATACTAGCCATGCTACATAGAATTTTATCGTTAAACGTAGAGAACCGTATCGAGGGCCGCGCTGAAGATTAGTCGCAATAAAGAAAAAAAAACGCGTAAACGTAGAGGAGAGCGTGGAGGGAATATGATCTCTGATGAAAGCGTGAAGTTTTATTTTATGTTGATAGGCGTTGATGTTATACATATAAATATATATTGTGTACTTAACGGTTACGTTACATCAATACGATTGTCTACGTGCTAGATCGATGTACAAATCCACGATTTTATACATTTTGTATGAGTATTTTGTTTTAGAAATACTTGATTTCCTCCCGTATGACATTGAATAAAGCGCTGTCAGAATACACTTGTACAAAGTGTTTCATTCCCTGAAACCACTAATGCCTTAAGTCGAAGATTTTCATACATTTACAACGTATACTGATACCGAATTTCACAAAATTATACAAATTATACAAATATATTAACATTTCATGTATCCAGGGTTTTTTTTTTAAATTATTTAGACCACGAGTAAAAAAGTAAATGAATCAAGATGGAAAGCAACGTAATTTTAAATGAGTTTTGAAAGAGTTTGGAAACCACTGCTTTAAAGGCTAAATCGACCAAGACGTTTTTATAGATATGTAATCGCTATAAACGTTAACTACAAAGTAATTAGACTATGTTTTACCGTCGAAAAAATTTATTCGCGTTCGTGGAAAATTTATACAAAATTAAGTAGTATATTCATACTACTTAATAGTATATACATGGCAATTCAACTAATTCCACGGGTTGCATTTATTTTGTGGATTCATGGAGCTGTTCCGTGGACATTTGTAGGTTTGCGAGAACGCAGCCAGGTTCGAAAGTGAGCCTATTATGCGATACTTTGCTGGACTATGCTCGTCATTGTTGACTATTTCTGTTTCGTACTCTGGTCTCATCGATGAACACCAGGACTATGAAATTGAATTATGCTGATTAGTCGAGGAGCCTTCAAATAATATTTGTTGAGAAATTAGCATTCGACGTATGGTAAGTAAATTAACTTCCTTTTAAAGTTTGTTGCAAGTATACGGTTCCAAAGCTTTGAAAAATAAATTGCAAAAATTGACGACGAAAATGTTGAATTCTATTAACGTAGTGCTAAAATGTTTAGAATAATGCTAAAGTATTTTGTATATTTAATTGCACGTAGTGTAACTTACGTTTGCGAAAGCTAAGAAGAACAACTCGTCGTTGGTAACGTCTTCTAATCCAGGTAGCTTCGTTTCAGGTTTCCCTTTGGTCAGTTTTTTGTAAGCCGAGTAAGCTACTTGCAAACCAACCGAGTCTGCCAAGTTTTCGTCCTTGGTTAAATTACCATCCAGCTGAATAGAATTCAATTTTGTTATTGCGAAAATCGAATATTGAGGAAATGTGTACATAGCTTCAAAGGTGAGTTTCAGGTAGAGAAAAATAATTGAAGAGGTTTATGTTTACATTTATCGTGTCCTTGTTCCTGATTTACATGCGTTTGTGTTATGCAAACAATATTTGTTTAAAACTGATACGTTCATAGAGAACCACTAAGTGCTTCTGAGAGTAAAATAATTATTATTGTTTACTGATCTTGTGTCCTGGGATATTGTAGTATGAACAAGCAATGGAATTTGTGCATTTTACAAGGCCTCAAACTTTTACTTTAGGCATAACTGGGTCAATGAAACGCCTACGCTTTTATGAAACACTCTGTATCACTTTCAACTCGATACAAATGAAATAAAATAATTGAATTTTATTTTTGCACATTTTAAATGAACGACTCGATGTTCTTTGAATAACTGAGAACTCTTTTCACTAATATAAGAAATAATTTTAGAAAGAATAGTGGTCAAATTTACCTGAATATGGTTTCCATCTTGGTCCATGGAATCAAGAGTATAATTACCATATTGATTTATGAAACAGGTCGCTCGATCTTCGTATTCGTCCAATACGTCCTGAGAAATCCACGAAGTCTTGTAGCCGTCGGTATCGTATTGAATTCCTAAATGAATAAATTATAGATCATTTACTATCAAATTATTTAAATTTATAATACCGATATCGGTGACGATACCTTCGTTATCCAAGCTATGAGACAATTCGTGTCCGATTACAAAACCAGTTCCTCCATAATTAACTGCGCTAATAGAACACACATTCGTCAATATATTTAACCACCAACATACAAAGTGTGGAATAATTTGATCAATGATACCTACTCTGGCAATAGTGGCGTGAAATATGGATCTTGCAATTCTGCGGCTGGTATTACTAAACAAATTAAATAATCATTGACTTGGGGATGTGAAATGCATTAGTTACCATTTTTTATATACAACATTTCATTACTTTTCTGTTCAATGATTCGTTTATATTTTCAGCTTGAAAAGGTTATTATCGTTAAGCTACTAATTTAATTTACAACAATCTCAAGAATTAAGAGCAATTATTTTATTTACCGAGATACTTACATATAGCGTTAACCGTTTGAGTGTAAAATGCGTTAACGGTTATAGGATAATCTAACCACCTAAATAGAAGCGTCGAAAATGATTATTTATTGTATTTTATTTCAAAGCAAATATTTAAGGGAAACTCACTGGGTTCGTGCAACAGGTTCTAGGAATTTCTTTAGACTAACCACCAGCTCGTGTTTATCACAGTTTAAAATATTTTGGAAATAGTCAGTGCCTATCTTCAACTGCGAAAAAACATAAGAAATGTAAATTCATAGAAATTTTTGACCGTTAATTTTTTGTATTTATTATAATTGATCAGGATGCATTACCCCTTCGTAGTATTGAATCATATCTTGATCGTTCTTGTAGAAGTCAGGATATCCGATCTGGGTTTCGATGTTGTCCAATTTGTGCGCCAAAGTTTCCTTCATGGCTTTCGATACCCAAGATGTATGCATTATGCGGTGCCTCAGTTCTTCTTTTATTTTTTTAACCATTTCCTTTGTCTTGAAATAATGAATAAAAAATTGTCAGCCCTGTACCCTGCCTTAAGGCTTCCATCAGTTAATATTAAATATATTTATAAAAAATAGAACTACAATCGTTATTTAGAATAATAAAGATTGCAATGTTGGGTGAGGTGTGATTTAATGAAAAATAGAATTTACCTTCTCGATAACATCATTGGGAATATACTCTTTGACGAACATGTACGAGACTGCGTCCTTCATTTTCATGTTGATCACGCAAGATTCCCATCTGGAAACGAATTCAACGTCGATTCTTTTTTTCATAAAATTGGAACAAAAATGAGAAATATCCTTGATGCAAGTTATATTTAATATTAATAGCACGCTGTACTAGACATACCAAGAAACGACCCGTTTGAGGTAATAACTAGACGACTTGTTTGATGAAATAATGATACGGTGAACGAATTAATCAATCTTGTCGCATGCGATCTGATAAAATAAAAACGTTATCTTTCCTGAGGATGATCTCTAGCCCAACTTGATCCATCCCGATGATATCAGAGAAGAGAAATTCAACGATACATGACACAGAAATGTTCAAGGTCTCTCGAGATCACAGAGCTCTCTAGAATGCATGCATTGTAACCATTATTTCTGATCTAACATAGCCTTGACAATTGTTTGCCTTGTGTATCATTAAAGTTTCTGTTTTGTTAATAATCCGAAGAGTTAAATTTATAACCATCCATTTTGAAATACGATTCGAATTCAACATTTTATTTAATTGATAATGGATAAGTCTATGTTATAATCTACTTGTATAAATATTCAAATGCAAGTACGATATATACGATAGTGGAATAAAAATACCGAGGCGTATAGTTGGAAATGTTATACGACGAAAAGGAACTATTGAACCGGATATCCTTCATCTCTTGCGTGGTAAACTGCAGAAATTTGTCCACCATGTTCCATTGGACATAATTTACTGGAAAAAGAAAACCGATGTAAGTAAGAGTGGCATTTAGAACATTTACTTAAAACATTTAGCTAAACCTCAAGGTACTTCGAATTGTTACTCGAAACATTTTCTCTAAACGAGAATTTCGCCTATTTGTAGCACGAATGACCAGAAAAAAAAAGAAACATTAAATCGCGATATGGCGGTCACGTAACCATTCCAGCTGCGGTCAGGGAAACAACGGATACAAATGGCGAACGTAAATTACTATTGTTCGTACAGTTTGTGTAATTACAGAATTACCAAGCACACGTCGCGAAGTGTTTCCAAGCAGCCTCGCCAGTTTATGGAGGAATTCCGGGTTGTACACCACAATTGGTTCGGACGCGTTTATACTGATATTAGCCAGCATGAACACGTGTTGTATCTCTTCCAGGAAGTTGATCTACAAGAATTCATCATAAACCTAGTACATCGTGTCGTTCGCCATCATTATTTTCAATTGCGTGGTACTAGTCGACGAGTCATACTGACTGTGTTATTTTCGATTTAAAGAAATCATCACGAAAATTGAGTTGAAAAAATGGCGACTAGTACTAGTTAGTCTCAAAAGTGACATTTTGATTGCGATTTGTGGTAGGCTTAGTTTTGAAGAGTTGTGAATTTATTTGTTATCTGACTGAATGCACTTGTGTTTCACAATTATTTTCTTGCGTTTACGTTTTTATAGTATTGCAAGGTTGACACCGTTACTCGAGCGAGAAACTTCTGTATACGCCGACAGAACTGAATGATTACTTGCTTATTTTATCATTTTTCCCTTGGTAAACAAATCAAGATATTACAATGGATAAACAAATAAAACATAATAAGTAGTAGGGATTCATTTCTGTTTAGACTTCTTATGCTCGTTCATACTTTCTTGCTTTGAAAAAATTATAATTTTCGTATTTGTAGGTTGATGCTTCAAAAAATTGCTGCAATAAAAATGCATCTTTCGAGAGAAAATAAAAAGTGGCCTAATTTATACACACTACCAATCCTCCGCAGCATGTTTTAGAAGATAAATATACATACGACCAATAACGACAGAAAACTCAACTTTGCATTAGTTTAACAAACAAGATATATGGATGTCGAAATTAATTATGTTACTTTTGACGTGGCAGCCTTAAATCCGAGACTGTTGTACCATTCTTGTAGTTCCCCGATTGTCATTTTTTTATAGTTATCGTTAGCCAAGTGTGCTTCCTTCCCCGTTTCGATGATCTGTGAAAACAGAAATGATTGTATCGAGTGTTCAATTACAAATCATATTAAATGTTTAAGTCGACCTACAAACGCGTTAATCATTTATTTTAGCTACAAGATCTCGTACAGTACTTATAAACGAACAGAATGATTACTTGTAGGAGTTCTATCTCAAAGTTCACCAATTTTGAGACGTCATTGATCAGCTGGGTTTGAGGTAAATCGTACCCCTTCCCTTTCGCGAAAGCTTCAGCTATACGGTACAAGCCAAGAGCATACGTGTCGTTATCGTTGAATATTTTACTCAAATCTCTCTTAGTCGCTAAGGGATACTCAGTGTCCTGATCTATCTGCAATTGTACGGAATCTTCTGATTAATAACACAAGAATTAATTACCATTTTCGTTGTCAATTTATACTTTTTTAAATAAATGAATCACTAACTGTGAGCACGTATCTTTTCGTGTTATTCTGATCAGCTTCGTATTCAATGTTGTAGAAGGCACTGTTGCCAATCAACCGTATGTAATGCTTGTCAATTTTCTGCCAAGAAATTTTGTTAGAATTCCACTCTCTAATTGGCATTGCTATTGGCCACCCACCAGTGGAGTCCAATATGTCTTGAATCGGTTTGAGGCCTTTTCTTTCGATCGCATCTGTTGGAACGTTGCAAAGTAGCATTTTACACGAAACGAAATACGATTAATTGTCTTTAAATTGCTCGTAATCGCATCATTCTATAGATTTAATAAATTAATCTTCGTATGTGTTCCTCATACTCGCGTACGCTACGAGTGCGTAGAGTTTCATCATGAACGATACTACGAAATTAATTTCATGTTTGTAAACTTTTTTGACGCGCATACATCCATTTTTCTTACCTACGTTCATGCAGGAGCGATAGAGTTTCCTGGCCGATCTCACAGGCAGAATGTCAGCAGGTTTATCGCGTTGCTCGAGGACATCTAATGAAAGAAGTTTCAAAGACAATTGAATACATTCAATGCAAAGAATCCTGAACGATAAATTGCGTAATTACTGTTGGTAAATACGAGCGATGCGGAAGAATGTTTATTTTTAGTTTACGACGTTTCGGTCAACTTTCTTCGTAACTTTCTTTACTTTCTTTGCCTCGAGACATTTTATATTATATTTTACACATATTCGACACATAAATATCTAATCATTATGTAATATTCTTAGTTTATGTCTTTTGTACACTTCCGAAATTTCAATAAAGCATTGGATGATTCGCATTTTTGTTATTCAATCTCGCGAAGTTCAACAAGTAACACTGTCTGCTTGCCTTTGACGCGTTTGTACGTATTTTCCATGATGATCTGATCTTCAGACCATTCGACCTCGTTGTCTGGTATAGGATTATGCTTCTCCCATGAACCGCAGGCGTATTGATAGAAATTTTCACAGGGATCCGCGGACGAGTCTCTGCTTTCCAGAATTTTCCTAGCTGTGGCACACGAGGAACGTTAAAATGAAAAAGTTAAAGCAGCACAATTCCATCCTTTTACACAATGCTAATATACCCCACAAAAATTAAGAAAAATTGCATTTAGGTATTTGTTTATGTGTATTAAAAATGGCACAGCACGAGGTTCTTCAAATTCAAGTTTAATGATCCACTTCTCTTGGAAAGAGGGAGGTAGTGTATTTATTCTATTAGAAATTACAGCCTGCAAACAATTTTTTATAGACTCAATACGAAGTTACATGTTCATAGAATAACCACATTTAAAGAAATTTCCATATCTTTATTCTTAAACATTATATCGCTGCAAAACCAAGCGACCTTCTTAAAAATGGCCCTTTGATCAAACGCATGGTGTGCCATTTTTAATCAGCATATGTCTACAACCAAAAAAATATTTTCTCGATCTCCAAGACACATATGAACGTAATCTAAAAGGAAAAGTCTGGACTTGCATTCATTTCCTCAAAATTAATTCCCAAAGAAGGCTCCACTTTGGAGCAATTTATCTGCCCTCGAACAGTCACGTAACTGCCATCATCACCTTGTGCTCTGCGACGAGCAGAAGGCAGTAAAACTTTGTTCGATAATGGCATTCATTTGCAAAAATGGTTGTAACTTATGTAAATGTTACGTCACCGGCGTAGCCATACCGATCTGGTTGCACGGACCCGTTTCGCAGATTCTCTGCTCTCGATCCTCGCGGTAGTCGTGTTTCAGACGCGCATCCGTGTCGTTCCTAGTACTCGACAGCCTCCAGATTTTTGCGATCGACAGTGTGGCCGGCGCCGCTGCCGCGGCTGTTAAGTGACAGCTGCATTAACAAACAATAAAAAAAAAAAAAGAGAGGAAAATAACATCGTCAGATTCATGAATAATTCCTTCCGCGTATGGAGCAACCAAAGTGGAGTAGAGTGACAGAGTTCAGAGAAAAAACACGTCCCCCGTCGCAACGCCTTCTCTGTTTCAGTGTGATTAACATGTAAATCGCGCTATACATTACTTGCAACAATATACCTGCGTGCCATATTACTTCAATTACGTAACGGATATTCATTGAGATTCACAAAGAAATAACAGTTGATCAAAGGAAGCTTTACTTGATGTGTCGAGATTGATAGTGCACAGCGTGATTCACGTGTCGATCATGCTATACAGTATTGCGGCAACACTTATACTATATTGTTTGTATTATGTATAGATTTGCGTGTCGAGAATTTTAAATAAATCGTGACTCCTCTGTGAGTCATTTTCGAAATACAAAAAATTATTGACTCGTCTCCAAAACGAACGTGCATTACTAGTTCGAGAAATGGGTTTCCCAAAAGGTAGGTATCAAAGCCTGTATAAACCTATTAAAAAATAAAATTCTAAATCAATCAAATAAATAAAAAACAGCATCGAATGTTAGAGACAAAAATAAAATAAGATTCTAATTTTAATTCTAAAGCAAAAGACCAACAAATCCAATAACTCGGAATACTTTGCCTTTTCTAAACAACCCGCATACAAGTTTCATTCGCTTTTGCTTTAAATTCATCTGCTTCTTAGCCACGTTGTAGTTTGACCGTGGTATTATCGACGATGATTCACTGCCATGTACGTTAAACGAAATGCCATGGAAAGAATTAAATCGTTAACGCGACTTCTGATCGATTTTATTCTTGCGCGATCACTTACATTAGCCACAGGAGCTGCATGGTTGTCGAAGGAGTGAAGTCCTGGACTGATCAATCGAGACGAAGAGCTGTCCAAAAGTCGCAAAGCAGACTGTCTTTCTCCAGCGAACGCGTCGCTCGGGCGTTCTTTTTGGTTTGGTCGGGTGTTGGGATCGTTATGCAAGATTAATTACCGAACAATATTCTGTGAAATGAATCAGTTGTCATCGGGACACGTGAGGAATAATTGATTCCGCGATCGTCGTGTTCGCGACATCCGGATAACTAGTACACACTGAGTCAATTCGTTGCGAGCCTTATCGTCGACGGGTTTTTATCATTCTTTCGGTGCACACAAACGATTACTTCCGAGCAGGTATAATAATTTTCCTTCGTATTCATTATTGAACGCTGCATAGTAATTTTAGTATCACTTTCTGGTTGCTTTTATGTTGATTTTCGTTTTAATAATATGGGACACGAAGAATAAAGAAAGTTTTTGTAAAAAAGTAAAGTTAAAGAGTAAACAATAGTCTCTGATATAATGTTTTACATATTGTAATATTAAATTTGTTAGAAGGCGAATAATTTGTATTGTTAAAACTCAACGTTGATAAACTTCACGAGTTTGAGTGTTGATTGTTACTACAAACCATATCCTACAGGCTCTTTTCGGAGACACTTTTATTTATTGAAACAATGATTCTAAATTCACAGAAAAATATTTTAATATACAGGTAAGTTTATGAATACTTATAAATATTTAAAAATTCAATTGAAAGTGCACTAAATCCTGCTCAGTCTCGACAATTGATTAAGATGAATGTCACTGTCAAATAGATACATGGAACATAGATTGTTTATTGTAGTAATAGTTTAAGATGTAATTTTCTCTATTCTTATTTATAATTGCACATACTGCTACCACATAAACAAGTCTTAATTATGAAACAGTCATACCAAGGGGAAGTTGAATGCATTGCTATAATAATTCTTTTAACAAGTTATATCTGTTCTGATCAGTTAAATACGGTTCCTATAACACGAAGGAGAGTGATTTTGAGTTCTATATCGACACACTAAACTATTAACCATCTTGGTTTTGAGTAAAGATTAATTAAAATTAAATAAATCGAACGGTGCTCAAATCGCTCCCCAACGTGGTTGCGATTGATATCGCCATCTCGCGGTAGATAGACCGAACTAATTTCGGTGTTTGGTCAGCGCCTCTATCGGGAAAATGCCCAAGTTTGTCGTGGAATAGTTTCTTTTTTTTAACGCTAGATGGCGCCATTTGTATACTTTTAAAATAAAACTGCTATAAAATTGATTTTAAGACTCTAATACGTAATAGTGAACTCGTAATGTTTGATTGGCACATCAAAATCGATCAAAAACATTCTTTTTTTAATAAAAAAAACTTGTTGCAATCCTGTAATGTCGATATATATACAAGTGGAGCCATCTGAATGCAACAAGTAGAACTATTTCATAAAATCTATTCGCCGCTAAATGGTGTTACCATTTGCTGTCCCGTTCATTCGCTGATGCAATTAATTTATTACAGCACGAGGTATATACTTTACATAACACCCATTTTCCGAGTACATTTGATGCATTTATTAAGTTGCTCTATGAATAATTCATCATTTTTATGTAAATTATCGATTTTTTAATTAGTGGCGCCACCTAGTAACAACAGGGGGAACTATTTTCACAACAAACTTGGACGTTGTACCACCGATGGCGCCACTGCGGCGCGCTCCCAGAGTGGCGGTTTTTTCAAATGAATCTAACGTAATGATATTCTTTAATCGTTAAATTCTAATTCAAGTTTAATTAGTAACTTGCTTGCAAAACATTTTATAAGCTAAGCAATATGCGAACGAAAGCATTGGAGAGGTGCACTTCTACGTTAATTGAATGAAAACTATAGGAATATACTTATTGAAATCTTATACGTACATCCATACATTTACGATGTATTAAGTAAATACTTGAATTTACATTTATTATAATATTCTTTTCTAACCATAAATCTTTCATTTTTAATCATACTTCATTCAAAACCAAATATAGAATCCCATAACTTTATGATATAAATAAAACTAAGAATTGCTAGAAAGAATCTCTGATACGAAAGAAATGAAACTGGTTAAATTACCTAATACCTTCCATATGAGCATATCATCATAAATCTCCCGGAAATAGAAAAAACTGTGTAAACTGTAAAAATATTTTAACAAGTGCAAGCATGTGAGGAAATATCTCATATGTTACTTACACACGCAAATGAAAAGACTTATATATGTAAATAACTGTAGTTCTACAGCTTGACAATTGTTTTTAGATTTACCAAGACAAAACATTGACAATAAATCTGAAAAATTTATAGTAGCAGCCATTAGCAAATTTGTACTACAAAAGTAATACAAACTTCCCAAATCACACCACGTGGAGGTTGCCGCAAAAGGTGACTCGCCCTATCTCCGTCGTATCTCATCCACCCTTCCTTTGCAAAGTTTAAGTTGCGGAAGACATCATCGCAACGTATCTCAATCGACCATCCCAATTGGGACAGGCGATCTCGATAAAGAAATTGTGACCTACCCGGAAAAGGGATAGACGTGCTAACCATCGCCTAAATGCCCTTTTCAATCTACGTCCTACTAATTCCCTATTTCCCTGGCTCAAAAAATTCGCTCGTTGTGAGCCAATCCCTGAACTATAGCTAGCTAATGATGTTGGTGGTGTGGTCGTCTTAGAGGTGAGAGAGACGCTGAAAGAATAGAGAAACAATGGATTAGTTAATGCTTTTGTTCCGTGAATGTGTTTCTGGTTATCGCAGTCCTTGCAACAAGGAAGGCTCCCTATAACGTTTCGAGGCGAAACTAAATCAAAACTCCAGCGTTTGGGAGTTGTGGAATTCAGTATTCGTTTCCTTCTCGTTCGAACCACCGCCACGTGGATGGGAGACAGGATTGTAAACACTATAGACAATCGGATTCTAACCTGTTCACACGCGAATGATGCCAACGAACCAAAGCAAAGGAACAGGTTCAGTCACATCTGCGAAAGAACCATTCAATCGCTAGCAATTCATTGGCAATCGCAAAGATCCCTGATGGGTGCCGACTCAACACTTGTGGCATCCTACAGCCCGATTCCGAAGAATCGTATTACTAAGAGGCTGATAAGGAAACACGGATTAATCTGCCGAACCACAGCGCGAATCGGGTCGTGTAAGAGTGGTGCACGCAACACGGTTGAAGCAGAGTCAAGCGCAGCACAATTCTATACCTTTCAGTCACGTTTCGTCTCGATAACGACTGCAATTGTCACGTTTCGTTTGACCAAGTCAAAGAGACGAAGACAATGACAATCGTCACCGTACGACGTTACGGCCGAGAGCTATACAACATTCACTTTACCGACGAATAAAGAAGGAATGAAAATGGAAAAGGGGACCGTGGTTCTCCGAGAAGTAATACGAACCCGAATTTCACTCGCGAAATCGCGGACACGAGCTTGCTGAAACAAAATAACACGTTGAACGAAACAATTCACATTTACGAGCCTAGCTTGAACTTGATCGGAACACATGAAACGAATTGAATAGCACTATAGTACGGACGATAGAAACACATGTTGACGCCTGTTCAAACTCGACTGAGGAACGCGACCGCGCCGGCAAGCAACTCATTGTCGCTTGACGACGGTGCTGCCATTATTCATCGATGTAACCGTTGCTTGTTCTGCGCATAACGATTAATCGTATTATATACGTGATAAATATGAATGTAATTGGTGTCATTAAATTCTAAAATTTATTGTCTTTCGATTGTGTGTGCAAGAGTAGTTACAATATTTGTTAATTTAAAAGTAAGAGCTTTGTGCTGATTGGCCAGGCTGCGACGTAGACGACATCTGGTGGCAACGATAGCGACTATTTCAAATGGCTACGGCAACGAGGACAACGAATCGCGTGTCCTTTTTCAATTACCTACTGGACGATTCTTGAATCTGGATTTTTCTGGACTCACGTCGTTGATTTTCCTGAATATTCCTTACAATCGTGTGTCAAGTTGTAGGATAGATAATATCGGTTAGTTCTTGTTATTCTTTGCAAGTTCTTTTCAATATTATTCTCCCCGTACGTTAATCTTGTTCAACGTTTACGTACGTATAAAGTCTGAAAAGGATCCCTTACAAATATTACTTTCAGGCTTCATGGAGTATGTACAATACATCATCCATTTTCATAGAATTACAGGAACGGTAAATAGTATTTATGTCTCAGATAAACAAAGTTAACTGTAAAATATTACGAAACCGATGTAAGAATTACATGAGCTTTACCACAAACTGTTAGACATTAATTTTATTGTAAAAATTCAATAGCTTTCGCTTACATTTCTTTACAGATGCAGAACAAAGGTAGAAAATAAGTTTCGTAAATCTTAACTTCACATGTGCATACAACAATCACTGTGCAATTTCATAAAATTTATTCTGTGCTTTCGTGACTAATAATTAATTAAGCGTTAGTATTGTGAAATTTACTTTCTGCTCGTGATTACGTATACAAATGTGTAAGGTGAAAAGCTAGTTTGTCAGAAATTCAAACGTAAACGTATTTCGCTGGTAATTTTCCATGACTGTGGGGATGGTTAACGGTTAGAAGGGTAAGGAAAGTTTGTTATTGGGGAGCTATTGGATACAGAGAATTCTAAGAACTGAACGCTTCGATCGAGCATGTGTTTACAATAGCGGATTACGATATGGCCTGCAAGAGGATTAAGTTAACAACGTCGTATTTACGTCACTGATTTTCAGTGTTCGAAATTTCTCGACGTTTTTCTCACGTCACGTAATATTACAAACTTCCATTTGCTTGCCTGTAAGAAAGAAAAGAGTCACGGTTACAGTAATATGCAAGGAACTACGCACAATTTTTCTCGAATATTCGTATACTTTCAATCTACGAATATTTGTTAACATGCGTTAACATTGCGTCAAAATAACTCAATGGATTTCAATGAAGCTTTATATTTCAGTTTTACATTTTCATTGCAAGATTTCATATTTCTTTTGTTATACTCTCTTCTGTTGTACATAAAACGTAAAATTAACGTTTTCCTATTCTTTCTCATAAGCAAAAACCATCAGTGTAGTCAGTGTAATAAGTAGTCGTACAGGAACCATTTATTTTAAATGGGTTGCTGTATGAATACTTCTTACACTGACTGTATACTTTGTTAGGAAACCAAGTTTAATAAGTAAAACAATTGAAAGTAAAATGAA